AAACCCTCTTCCAGCTACTGCACTTCTTATCACAGGTTGGGTGGGAGCAACCCAGCCAGTGAGGGATCCACACAAGGGATCTGTGCAATGGACAGCAAACCCCATATCCCCCTCCCTCATCCTGCAGGGCAGGGAAAGGTCTCATCAATCACATGCTTCCTCTAGAACCATCATGGAGGTGCCCAAGTTCAGTTTGAATGGGGCCCTGGTTAGTCTAATCTGGTGGAGGGCAATCAGGCCACAGCAGGGGGTTGGAACTTAATGATCTTTAAGGTCCCTTCCAGCACAAACCATTCCATGACTGTGTGCTTTATAAGGAGAAGGACTTCTTGGGGACCAGAGGGAATTAATGGGAGATAAAGGTCCTGCATGCAAATAGGTGTGTGAATAGCCAGCCTGGTAGGTGGATAAGGTCCTCTACCACCATCACAGCCTCCTGACCTCCTGCTTTTCCCTTGTTCTAACAGAGAGATCTTCACCATCTCCACATTTGCTGGCAACCAGAGCAGCACTGTCCGAAAAGGCCGGCAGGGCACCATGCCTGCCCGGGAGTTTGCCCTGCACCAGGCCAACTCCGACATGTGCCACCTGCTGCTCATGGCAGAAGAGGGAGTGTAGGAGACAAGAACATACAGGACAGGGCTACCATATCCCTGCCTGCCATGCACCCTGGTTCTCCATGAGCCGGCCAAACCTCTGCCCATCTCTGCCACAACCAGATTGCTGTAAAAACAAAACAAAACAAAACAAAAAAGTGAAATGAAAGCACCAAAAGAGGTAGAGGAACTGCTGCAGGGCAGCAAGAGGCACCCCTTGCTTGGAGCCAGGATCTTTTCACCTTTTAGTTTTTTCAACCTGAACTCTTCTCCTTCACGGGCATTGTCTGAAGCTAGAGAAATCCATATAACAAACCTTGTGATACACAGCCTTCTTTTGCAAATAAGTTTCTGATAGCCCAAAAAAGCATGCTACAGTCTGATAGTCCGTCCATTTATTAAACATTTGGAATGGAACATCACATCTGCAGCTGGCAAGGAGAAAGTTGCCCACAAGGGAGTGAATAACGTCACCACACATTAATGCACAGTTTTGAGGCTGCCAAAGAGTCCAGGAGCATGGAAAATAAACACATTTCTGGAGGAGGTGCGAGTTGGTTTTCTTTCCTTTGTTTGGTTTTTTTATTTATTTTTATTTCTTAAACACAGCCACATAGATATTCATCCCAGAATAATCCTCAGGGAGAGAAAGCACAGCAAGACCAAACACTGCATAACCTGTTGCCAATTATTGTATGTTCTTTCTAGTGTAATTGAGTGTGTTTGCATCTATTTGCATATGAAGGCAACCCAGCTCTATCACAGCTTAGACCTGCTCCGTTGTTCCTGCCAGGAAGCTGCACTTTGTTGCCAGGGATATGGCCAGTGTCACAGCAGGCAGCAGGGATGAGCCCAGGAGGGGAACTGCTGGGATATCAGTGAGGTCAGATTTGTGACTGATGCACGAAGATACAGAAGGAAAGCAGAGGAATGTGACCCATAAAGCTTAAGGAAAGCTGGACAAAAACCATCAGGAAACTTTAAACGCAGAGAGTCTACCCAACAGCAAACACCGTCTGTAGGATAGACCAGCAGTCTCAGTCCTCATCTCAAAGCAGGGAGAAATGTGATAAAGACAGAGCCAAAAAAATGGGAACAAATAGGGGAAATCAGAAGATGGGGTGGGGGCTGTGGAGCAGGGAGTGGCTGCAGGAAAAAAGAGCCATGAGATGTTTCATGACCTTTGGCATATCCATAACAGCTCTGCCTATCCCCCTCAGTATGGTGATCCTCACCAACAGTTCCTGCTCTCACACAAGATTTTAGCATGGAAGAGAGAAGAATTGGGTGTTTTGAGACTGCACGGGACAAAGACACAGGAAGAAAACACTGACCCTAGCATAGGTAGCATGCAGAACTTGTCTCAAGTCAGAAAAACTCAGCTGGGCAACCATGTGGTTCAAGCTGTGAGTACAGGCTGCCAAAATGTTTGGGAAATTCTCCATCCTGTGAGCATTTGCAATGAATTACTGGTAGTTTAGTCCATCTTATGGGGCAAATGTAGTTTTGGGGCTTAGGTGCAGAGGGCAAGAGATCAAGAAGCTGAAGTGGTCCTTTCTGAAACTGAGGTCTTCCCAAAAAGCCTGGACAAGTACTACAGGCTGTTGGTGCTGGACAATCATCTCTCAATGCAGACATTATTCAATCAGAAATGGAAAAGTCAAACCACTGGGGTCACATCGCCATCCCATCCCTTTCTTCCTCCTTATGGAAGCCAGACAATACCAGTAGACCGGCATTTTGCTTGCACATGAGGGGTAAAAATCCACCTATTGAGTGATGGCTTCTGCCTAGAGCCTCTTGTCTTCTTTTTGATCCAAAGTTTACATACTAACAGAGAAGCCTCTGGCCCCTCTTATCATCTGAACAGCAGTTCCCCTTCTCCGCTCCTAAGGGCAGCGGATGGAGATAGGATAGCCTCAAACCCACGTGCTGAAGGCAGTGTTCCAGCAACAAAGTGATACAGCAGCTTCCCTTTCTCTTGATATTTGGGATCTTTTGGTGACAATTTATGAAAATCACAATTATTTTGAAGTAAATATTGTTCTGCTGTTTTGCTTTCTCCTCCCAAGTTGGATTGTTATCAGGCACAAACACAGAACACCTCTCCTGCACTACAGGGAGGCTCACCAGGGAAAGCAGCACTTCATTCCTTCCTGATAAGAATATGCCTTTGAAATATCTCAGTCCTTCTTTCTATTTGGAAATGCGCTTTTCAGAAAAAAAAAAAAAAAAAAAGGGACTCTGGGATTGTGACAATGAGGTTTAGAGTAGCACAGTCTCCTGGGTTTGTCTGCTTCTCCCTGAAGGCACTAACATTATGCACTTAGGTTATGCACAGAAACGAAAGCAATGTGGTTTTTTTTTTGTATTTTCTCTTTGACTTTTAACATTACCAGACATAGAAGTGAAGAGCAGTTCCCATAGACACTTCCAGCCAGCACAGCATGACCAATGCCACCCCAAAGCTATGCTTCCCAGAGATCTGCTTTTTAGTTCTGTATTCAGAGATCCCCAGAGATGCATAGCTAAATACTGCAATGAGGCTGAGATAGGGACACAAGGCTCCTCCTGCTTCTACCAACCCCTGGAGCACCTTTAGGGATGAGAGCAGCCCTACAGAAGGTCTCTACAAGGCAGGGGATGCTGCCTTATTCTCTCCTTCCCATTTCTGCAAAGGTATTGGAGACTATCCAAGACTTGGCTTGAGAACTAAGCTTTCCCTACACCAAGGCTCTGCTGGTTACAGGACAATCTCATACAGAACCAACCTCAAGGACACAGAAAGAATCTGACCCGGGTCTTGCCCTCGGCTCTGAACAGGGGGATCCGGGTGACCGTGAGGAAGCAGCCCCTATCTCCTTGTACTGCTCCAATTGCTGCCAAGCTGCTGATAGCCAATGGCTGAATAAGAAAAGAGGCAGTACTAAGCCTCATTTTCCTCTGAGCCCCACTTGCTCCCTGGGGAAAGGGCAAAAATAGGGAGGGTCAAATTATCACCAGCTCCTCATCAGGATTTGGGCATTTTACATATTTCAGTTCTATTTGCTTGGCTGCTGTAGTGCATCTTCTGGAGCAACTGCCCTCCCAAGAGTGTCCTAAAGCTTTACAATCAGAAATGATGGGTGTCCAGAACATAATCCAGAAATAGGGGAGAGGCATGGCTGGGAAGATCAGAGGGTGCCAGAACACAAGCTTCCCCTATTGCTTGAGGTGCTCCCACTTGACAGCAGCTGCTCAGCTCCCAGGGCCGCAGCAAGAGGCTAAACCTATGGCAACCCCAGGGAGCCCCTAGGAGCAGCTTTTCTGCACAGCTCCCCATGCCTTGTGTGTGGAGCTGCAGATCAGCAGTGACCTCCAGCGGCTGCTGCCAAACCCGACTGAGGTGTCAGGGCAGAATCACGGTGCTGTGCCATACAAGGGCTGGGTGCGTATCTCACTACTGGCACCCAGGTCCATAAACTTTCCTCTTCCTAGCACAGTCCCACTCACTCAACGGGATGATAAAACATTACCTGTGCATCTACTGCAGCTTTCTGTACAGACAAAACTATGCCAAAGACAGCGTGCACAAAACTGAGCAGCATATGTGTGAGAAGATAGACAATGCACAGGAGATAGGCACTACTTCATAGTTGCACATTTAAAGTGTTGGGGCAGATCTCTTATCATTCACTGCTTTTCAATCCTAGGCAGCTAGTAATAAATAAAAATAAAATAAAAACGTATCAGCATTTCCATGGCAAATCCACTCACCAAATCTCCCATGCAGTTCTCAGGCATGGAGCGCTAAGGGAGCAGCAGTGTGGGTGGAGATGCTCATGTACCCACTGCAGCAATCAGTAAGCAAGTGGAAAAGCTGTAAGGTGTAACTGAGCACAGCTGTGCCCACAGGAATGGTGGTGGCATGAAGTTATCCCTGTGGGGACTAATTAGGACTGAATAAAGTAGGTGAGGAGATATTAAGGAGTGGCTTGAGGAGTTATGGCAACAGCAATCACCATCGTGACTTCTAAGGAGCTCCCATAGGAAGAAGCAGGATTTTCAATAAGCAGGGCTTCCAGCATCTTCAACTGCCACACAAGTGCCACTGGTCGCCTTTGCCAATCTGGGTGTGCAGCCATCGTCCCCAGTAAATCATCCAGGCTGGGAGCCACAGAAGTGTCATATTTCAGCCACATCCCATCTGTAGCCATCCCCAATAAACCACAGTGCAGTGAGTGCTCATTCAGAAGAAAACATACCCTCTTCCTCCAGCCCCTCCTTCTGCTCGCCTTGTCCTTGAGCACTCTTCATTCCCAGCTCCTATCTGTGGCACGCTCCTATAATCAGGTGCTGTCCTTCATGCCTGCTATAAAGGCAAAAGGAGATGCTGTGCGTGCATGCAGGCTGGCAGCCCTAACCCGTGACATGCTGCAGGCCATCATCAAGCTGTCCTGCGGCATTGCCCACGACCACCTCCGCAAGTTGCCTGGTAAGCACCACTCTCTCCCCACGTCCCTAGAAAAATCATGCAGAAATGAGGATGCTATGCTCTGAAAGTTCCAAAGGAGATGCTCGGGGGAGAGACTAAAGAGATTGAAAAGAAGATACTCAGAGGGCCCTGAAGGAGATGCTAAGGGGGTCCTAAAGGAGGGAGTAAAAGATGCTGAGAGGGACTGCAAAGAGATGCTAAGTGAAAATTGTAAAAGTGATGAAGTTTTCAGCTGGGACCTGGTTGGTTCAGCCAATACTGATGCAGCTTGTTTCCAGATCAAATGAGTGCATGCTTTTGCTTTTCATGGCATACATCTTCCTCAGTGGTCACTAGCATGTTTCTCCCCAGGCCTGAAGACAGCAGCCACCGCGGTGATGCAGGAGCTGATAGATCCCTACTGCCTGCATTCCGAAATTCCTTCTTGTATCCAGAGGCTCATGGGGAAGGATGCTGGTGAGCAGCCTGTGCGGCCCTGACCCTTGGACAGTGCATTCCTCAGCCCCACTGCAATGAGGGATGGGGAGGGATGAGCCATCAGATGCATTGATTATTAGGGGGGCAGAGCTGCCTTAAGGATGGGAGGTAACGGTCTTAATTTGTGCCAAGGGAAGTTCAGGCTGGATACTAGGGAACATTTATATTCAGAAAGAGTGGTGCTGTATTGATGTCCAGGGAGGTGATGGAGACATCATCCCTGGAGGTGCTGCAGAGCTGTAGAGATGTGGCACTGAGGAACATGGGCAGTGCGCAGGTGGGAGTGGACTGGGGTTGGGCTGGGTGAACTGAGAGGGCTTTTCCAACCTGAATGATTCTATGATTCTGGTCTCTGGGCTACTCTCCATCACTCCAGTAGCTTAAAGCATCCCTAGTGTTGATGGGGATGCTAAAAGGTGAATGAGCTGTAAAGGCCACCAGAGCATCTAGTGGAGGTGACAGCCACGTACCAGGGTTTGGTTTGATGTCTGTGGCTGCAGACCCCACCAACTCACTTGAAGATCCAAAACATGGTGAACTCACCTGGCATGCACTGCTGTACCCACACCCCATCCCTCCACATGCATGCAAAGCTGGGCAGAGGGGGTGGATTTTTCACACTTCTCTGTGTTTCCACCCACTCCTGAAGCCAGGTGCATAGAGCCCGAAGCAGACACGCAGCCCTCCAGCACGGACCTGTCCTACATCCACCAGGGAGAAAGGGCCCTGCAGCGAGCGCTGGGCATCCTGCAGCAGCCACACTGCTGGCAGCCAGAGGCCGTGCCGGTAACTGACCTGACCCCGTGCACCTCACAAACCCCACAGCAAGGCGCGGGGTGCAGCCCTGATGTGGGTGCTGTGCCTGCAGAACGCAGAGGCTGCCATGTCCAGCACCGCGCTGCCGGGGCTGGGCCGCGTCTTTCGGGCCGAGGCGGTGCTGGCGGTGCCTGTGGGCAGGCTGCAGGGTGAGCTGTTTGAGCGGCTGGAGGAGATGCCCCGCTGGAACCCCAGCCTCAGCCACGTGGAGGTAGGCAGCAGGACTGCCGGTGGGCATGAAGACCCATTGAAATCCCACCGTACTCAATGCGTGTGCCCTGCGGGCCCGCAGGTGCTCTGCCGCCCAGGTGAGGACACGCTGGTGACGCACGAGGTGACGGCTGCCAGCCCAGTGGGACGCAGGGACTTCGTCAGCACGCGGCACCGCAGCAGGACGCGGGCAGCCATCTACCTGGTGGGCACCACTGCCCACCTCGAGCAGCCACCCGCACCACAGGGCTGCGTCAGGTAACACAGGGCACAAAATGGCAGGCTGTGGGGTCTATGGGGAGGAGGTCTCACCTCCAGGCCTGCTATTTCGTGGCGTAACCACCCTGTCCTGCAGGGCTGAGACACGGCTGAGCTGTATTGTGCTGCAACCGCTGCCAGGCAACCCAAGCTGCACACGTGTCACATGGCTGCTCAGCATGGACCTGAAGGTAAGCAGCGCTGTGGCAGTGCCCCGTGCTGGCCCAACGCCCATCATCCTTCATGTATTTCTCTCCCCCAGGGCTGGATCCCCACCTCGGTCACCAACCGCGTCCTGCCACAGTGTCAGGCCAAGTTCATCGGGCACCTCCGCCAGCACCTCTCCTCCACTGCCTCTCTCTGACCCCAGCACAGTTATTCATTTGTGGAGACGTAGCTTTACATTTCTGTGTGTGTATATATATATATATATATATATGTACATGTGGATAGGATTTCCCATCCTATGCAACCATAGAACCAAGGCAGGCATCGCTGCAAAGCACAGACAGAAACCCACCTTTCCTCTCATAGCTCCTTCTGGAGCCATGAAGCATGACTGCAGCCACTTTGGGGGGCTTGGAGCCTATATATCCCAGTGGCTTTGCTTATTTAACGGAAAGATAAAGCCGCTTGCAAAAGCCATGTGAAACCCTGGCTGATAAATAGGAATTAAATAAAAGACAGAAGTGGCAGCTTACTATGGAAGATCCCTTTCAATCACACGCAGGTCATATGTTCCCATACCATACTATTCCCACACTCTAAATAAATCAACAGAAATAGACAGTGATGTGGATTTTTTTCTTTTTCTTTTTTCTTTACATTATGTTAGAGTTCAAAAAAAAAAAAAAAAAAAAAAAAATTGAACCCAACAAAATTAATAAATATTAAAAGTTAAAAAGCTCTGAATCTGGTATGTACAAAACTTTACACATTGCAGTGCTGACCAAGGAGGTAGGCAGCATGGTGTGAGGTGAAGTGGGCATGCTGCATGCTGCAGCCTCTGCATGACTGGGAGAATGCCACTGGCACACAGCAGCCCTGCACCAACGCCTCCATGGTAGCAAGGCTGAGGCAGCCCTAAGGCACCAACCTCCTCTGCCATACAGCAATGAACCACCGCAAAAACTAATGAAAGAAAGCCATAATGCCCAGGACAGCATCAAACACAGGAGTGTAGCTGACGACTTTTTGGAGGCTGGGTGAGTATGCATGCATGCTGCACACTGCAGACATTACAATCCTGTACTGACACAGCTGCTGAAGCTGCAGGAGAGATCTGTGCATTCTCCTGCCCTGCTCTGCAGGCTCCTGGGATTGTAAACAGCACCTGCAGTGAAGCATTATCTTTGGCACAATAAATAAATGCTGGCACTCCCAGAGGAGGGCCCTGTGAGGGGCATGAGATGCGGCAGGATATGAGGTGTGCTGGTTGCTGGCTCAGACACGGGGCTCCATTCCATCTCTCATGGCATCCACTTAATGCAGCACTCGGGTCATCCTGCCTCAAGACTAGGAGTGATGTGGGGCAGGAGCACCTTAACATCCCTTCGGCTCTTTTGGTACCATTTGGTAGCACCAGCAAAGGGTGATGGGGGCTTGCATGCCAACATGAAATGCTCTAGCCTCAAACATCTCCCAGCACCACGTATGTTGTGGATGCAGCGCTCTGCTCATGCACTAATGGCACTGCAGATCACTCATCCCAAAAGCAGCGCATCCTAAAGCCATTGTGCTGCTCATGGGGCATGCCCAACACTCTGGCCACCTCATCAGCAAGCCCTGGACATGCATAGAACCACTGTTGAATTATAGCTGAGTTTGGAAAGTGAACTGGAGATAGTGAAGAACAAAGGAGCAGTTCCCTGCATATGCTCTTTGTGGGCTTCCTTCTTAGAAACTGAGCACCAAAAATAGAGCCTTCTGTCCACCCACCATCCTGTCCTCAGCCTCCCACTCTGTTCTCCTGACACAAAAGGAAGGTGTGCCCAACACCTGTACTCCCAGGCAAGGAAAAAATGGATTTGAGGCATCCCCAGAACTGAAGAACACGCTCACTGCTCTAGAGATGCTCATCCTGCCTCTCATGCAGCCAGGAAGGCAACACCATCACTGCCTCAGGTGCACCAAGCCATGCACACCTCACAACATCTGCCTGGCCCTCCTCAGATCTACCTCAGCAGCCCAGAGCCTCGTCCCTACCAGCACCCACAGCCCATGGAGGGGCAAAGCGTCCTCAGCTGAGGTCCAGTTCCCCTGCAAGCTGCATAGAGCCCTATTCTTCTAAAGTGCTGTGCATGTATCTAGTACTCGGCACAATATTTTTAATGGCGTTAATCCCAACCCTTTTCCCACCATGGGACAAAAGGTGGAGGTGCAAGAGGGCAGCTCTCCAGCATAGCCGTGACCCTAACCCTTTGGTGCTCTTCTTAGAGCTGAGCTCAGCATGATGTTGGGGACACGGTGGCATCCCTCCCGGCACTTGGGCTTCCTGGTTTTCCCCACGGATCTCCACACACCTTGGTTCTCCACAGACACTGGGCATATGGAAGAAGAGGGTCATGGTCCTGGGGATGCCAGAAGTTGGTATTAGTACAAAGCTGGCCAAGGGCATTATTGGCTGAAAAGTCACCGCTGGGTGACAGGCATTTTGGAAACCCTGGTTTTGGTCTTTGGCCTTGTCCTTATTGCTCGTGCTGTGGTTGGTCATCCTAAAAGAGGTCACAGAAGAGAGGTTTTGAAGGGAGACCCAAGCTTCCTGAGCAACCTCATGCTCCTACCCAAAGCTGGGTCTCTGTGAGCACCACGACAAATGTGCCGGTACCTGGAGGAGGCAGTGGCTGGCCAAAGAGCCAGGGTCCTCCTTCCAATCCTCTCCTATCTTACTGCTTAGAGGGAGAGGAAAAGGCAACCTTAAAGCCCCCAGTTTAGCACCTTGGAAGTTGGTGGCCCATGCCTCATGGCCCGGGGCTCTGAGCCACACATGGAGGTAAGAACCCTGTCTAGAGCAGCCAAGCTGCTTTTTGCTCCATTTGACCTTTTTTTCCTTTGTGGCACTGCCAAAAAAAAATGCCACAGCTGGGAGACGGGAAATGAAAATCACGAGAAAACAGCAGTTTCCCCAGGAATTTTGGAGAGGGCCAGGTCATTTCCAAACCTGGCTGCCCAGGAAAGCCACTGCTGAAGTGGGAGAAAAGGAGATGGAGAAGGAGGATGGAGGAGAACGGCTCCAGCTGAGGGGTCATGCGGGGTTACCTGGCTGCCTGCCCCCCCCCCTCACCTTCTGTCCCCACAGATGACTCACTCGGGACTGGGACCTCCCTGAGAGTTGCAGTGGTGGGGTCAGCACCAGGTGTCCCCTGCACAGAGGAGCTGGGGTCAGTAGGACTGGGGATCCCCACAAAGGTCCCCATGGGGGTGCCGGTGGGTGAGGCAGTGACGGAGACTTTCTTGCCACAGGACTCGCAGCAGAGCTTGTTGTAGCCAGGGATGGAGCAGTAGCGTGCCAGGACCTCCATCTGGCAGAAGATGGATTTGTCCCCGAGGCAGGGCTCCCCTGGAGAGAAACAAAGCAGAGACAGAGCATCAGTGAGCACATGCGGTCACAGTGGTATTCACCTCCCACAAGGGCACCAGGCACCAGTGCTAACCGTGCTCTTTGCCCCATTGCAGCAATTTTGGCAATGCTTGGATGGAAGAGGTGAAGGAGCTGGAGCATCAAGTCAGTCCCAGGATGGAAGCTGTGGTGGATCCCCAACTCCACGAGGTGGCAACCTGGCGCCAGGCTGTGCACCATAGGAGGCTGGATGAGGTTACATTCACCCCAAACGGGCTGCAGGATACCTCCTTCCCCCTAACACTTGCAGGAAGATGGCAGCAAGCTGAGCTGCAGACACAGGCCATGCAATGTGTGCTTGAGACACCTGAGATCCACCAGCCTTGCAGCCACCTGCCCTGCCCGGCACAGTGGAGGATGTGCCCCTAGTCTGAGATGAACAGTGCAGGGATGGGGCTGTATGTTGGGGCACTTACTGGAGGAGATCTTGCTCACAGGGTTCTGGGGCCTCTCCCGGGGCTCCCACTGCCCTCCAGGTGTGATGTGGTCACTAGCATTGGCACTGGCGGTGATGCCAGAGGGCTTCCCTGCAGAGAGAGCACCATGTATGGAGGCACTTGAAATACCTTAAAGGTGTACTTCTGGTGACTTTTTTAGATATTTTCTTAAAAACAAGGTCATTTGGGAAATGTCTGCTTGGCTACCCAAAAATAATCTAGCTGTTAACTCCAGAGTGCCCACCTCCATTCTACCCTTGCTCAAGTCGTCACCAATCTGAGAGAAAATCTGCAGCCACCTGCAGCGAGCCCATACCACAGGCTGTCCCCACACCCTCTCTCTCACCCAGACAGACAGCCACGTGGCAGCCCCGGACGGCCTCTGGCTTGTCCCCATGGCAGCGCCCTCCGCTCTCCTCACCCCTGCAGACCACCTGCCGCTGCTGCACACCGTCCCCGCAGCTGGCTGAGCACTGCGCCCAGGGAGAGAAACACGGCATGTGGGTGACAGCCAGGCACCCCCATAAGCAGCTCTGAGACGAACACGCAGCCCCATCCCCACATCACTTACCTGCGACCAGGCACCCGTCCTCCACTGTGCCGGGCAGGGCAGGCGGCTGCAGGGCCGGCGGGTCTCGGGCCGCTCGGCACTGCAGTACTTAGCATGCAGGGTGCGGTTGGTGCCATCCCGCAGGCGCTGCACACACTGCACGGCCCGCACCTGCAGTCCCAGCTTGCCGCAGGACTTGCTGCAGGCACTCCACTCCTCAGCCACCCAGCTGCAAGGGGTTGGGGACAGCGTTAGTGGCGGGGGGGAGGAAGGGGAGAGGAGGAGAGGGGAAGGTCCCTGTAGGGCAAATTGCAGCTGAAATTGCACAGCAGGGTGGGATGGGAGCATCCATCCACCCATCCATCCAACCACCCACCCATTCTGAGGGACTCACGTAGGCTGGGAGCACTCCTGCAAGTTGCACCGCCGCCGGATGGGCTTGGGCTTCTTGCCGTTATCGCACAGGTTCCTATGCACCATGCGGTTGTCGCTCCTTCGCCGGCAGCCGTACTTGGTGTACTGGATGCCTGGGAAGCAGGGGGTAGCGTCAGGATTCTCCCACTCCCTGTCTTCCTGCAGCCCAACCAGGATGGGTCCCCAAAGCTCCAGGGAACCCAAGCACACTGCCATGACTCGCTCAGGGGATACTCACAGGGGTGTGAGCAGAGAGAGGCTCAAGGGCTGAGCAGACCCAGGGCTTCCTCCCCAAAGCCACCCACGGGCAGGTAGGGTGGACTGGAGGAACTCAGCCACATTTTTACAGCCAGGAAGAACAAGCAGCATGCA